AATTAAAGGAGAATATTAGGGGTTGAAGTATGAAATTGCCGTTTTATTGCAATAGGTTCTTTGAATATTCATAGAATCTTCATGGTTTGAGGTTTTCGAATGAAACTTTTTTCAAATGGTTTCTGTGATTTTTTTTTTTTAAATTTGAAACATTTGAATATCGACTTTCAATTGTTTTTGTTATTCAATTTAGACAAGAAAGATGGATACTGCGAAAATTCGAGTGATTTTTGAATACGAGTTCCGACGCGGAACTAACGCGGCAGAAACAGCCCGCAATATCAATGCTGCGTTTGGAGAGGGGTCTACTAATGAACGCACCGTGCGATTTTGGTTTAAACGCTTTCGTGATGGAAATTTCGACTTAAAGAACGAGTCACGAGGAAGACCGCCCACACAGGTGAATAACGATGAATTAAGAGAGATAGTGGAAGCCGATCCTAGTCAAACTACCCAGGAATTAGCGGCATGGTTTAACGTTACCTTACCCACAATATTGACTCACTTGCGTCAAATCAATAAAATAAAAAAATACGAAAAATGGGTGCCTCATGATTTGACTGATCTGCAGAAAGAAACGCGTGTTGAAACTTGTGTTGCCTTGTTGAACCGGTACAGAAATCAAGGAATATTGGATCGAATTGTAACATGTGATGAAAAGTGGATTCTTTATGATAACCGGAAAAGAAAAATGCAATGGCTGACCCCAGGTCAAATGCCACAACAGTGTCCTAAAGCAAAACTTACCAATAAAAAGGTAATGGTAACTGTTTGGTGGTCTCAGCATGGTGTTATTCACTATAGTTTTCTCCGATCTGGTCAAGCAATAACGGCAGATGTCTATTGTGCCGAACTCCGAACCATGTTGACAAAACTAGCAGTAAAACAGCCCCGACTCATGAATCGATCTTCACCATTATTGCTCCACGACAACGCGAGACCTCACACAGCACGAGAAACCATTTTGACCCTTCAGGAACTGCAGTTAGAAACCATTCGTCATCCTCCGTATTCACCAGACCTTGCTCCAACGGACTACCATTTTTTTCGTGATTTGGACAATTATCTACGTGACAAGAAGTTTTCTTCCCAGGAGGCAGTACAAAATGCTTTCACACAGTTTGTGCAGTCTAGATCGTCGGAGTTCTATCGCAAAGGCATTAATAACCTTCCCATTAGATGGCAGCAATGTATAGATAATAATGGCAACTATTTTGATTAAATAAATTTGTTAAAAATTTAAAAAATAAACAATTTAGATTTTCAGTACAAATCGGCAATTTCATACTTTAACCCCTATTATTTTGAGAAACAATAAATTCATTTCTGACTATTTATAGTATTTTTTTCTTTTTCATTCCGGAAACTTATAGTGCGCCACACGTACATATCTTATTTCATTGCGGAAATATAGAATCAAACAACGGTCGATCTGACATCCATAGCGAAGAAGAACGAACGAAATGTACTATGTCCTGAGAACAACTCTATACTAAATAGTCTTGCACATAGATCTTTGTTCTACGGATGAGTCGTTATGAGTTATCGTGTAACATACATAAAAATAATAAAAATAACACAGTCGAATTGAGAACCTCCTTGTTTTTTGAAATCGGTTAAAAAGTAATGACCTCATGAATTTTCCAAATTACAGCTAACAACACTTGTTGAAGTCAAAAGATGAAGGAGTCGTGGCCCATATCCACTACTTGTGATAAAAAAAAAATTCTTTATGATAATCGAAAATAGGTTCAAAAAAGAAATTTATTATCAACAGATGGAGACGATGATAGCTGGATTTACAGTAGTTGCACAATGAAACTCTTCAACTACCCCCATACTCGGCTCACTATCCTGACCCCTCCCGATAAGCATTTTTTCTACAATTATATACGTACAAAGAAAACATTCACTTGTCGTGAAGAAGTCGAAAATGAGTGCCAAGACTTTGTCGATTCTCGTTCCACACTATTCTATTTATATACCGCAAAGGAATAAAATAATGAGCTTCCGGCAAGATGGCAGAAGTGTATTGTTCGAGATATTATTTTCATTAAATAAATATATTTATGTTTGAATTGAGTAATCCACTAGCAAACTGCGATATATCGACTCATCCGTAGAACAAAGATCAATGTGCAAGAGTACTTGTTCTCAGGACCATAGTACATTTCGTTCGTTCTTCTTCGCTGTGAATGTCAAATCGACCGTTCTTCGATTTTATATTTCCGAAACGAAATAAGATATATAAATTCTCAAAACACCTTTACATAAGCCTTAGTGTGAATAACGAAATTATTCTCGTAACATACTTATCCTCTTTTCGCTACATAATCACATCGGATTCTGTTCTTCGGATGAGTCGACATGCGCTTTTTATTTAAAAAATTTAATACAGAGAGTTTTGCAACACTAACCTTAAAATAACTAGTTTTGTAATTGTTCAGAATTAATGTAGCTATTTTGCAACAACACAATGATAACATGACTAGTTTTGTTATAATAATACTAAAATACAACTTCAAATTAAATCTAATTTTAATTTTCCTTTAGACTCTTATATCCACTGCGTCAAACATCAATTGTATCTTCATTATCTGTAATTTCTTCCTCGGTCACATTTGATTGTAGGTACTTGTCCGATAATACGAGTATAAAAATCACAAATTTCGTATGTAAACCAATCTGCGCCGAAATGTTTGACGAGCAAGTTTTTAATAAATGATCTCTCGGATGACAAAATAATTCCTTCATTTTTTTCCATCCTGAAAATAATAAATATCCAACAAAATGGCGCATTTTGTGGCGCATCACGAGTTTATGCTCAATAGAGTGGCGTTTGCAAGTAAACGGTATCGGTAAAAAAGTAACGGTAGGTACAAAATGGTAACTTTTGAAAATGTAAAATTAAGAAAGATTTGACATTGATTTGTTCAGAATATACAAAGTTTTGGCACTGTATTATTGAATAATTTGAAATTATTTAAAATACTTATCCATTTCACACCATTAACTAAAAGTAATTAAAAATGTCACATAGTGCTGTTTGCAAGTGAACACAAATGCCAAACAAAATGGCAATTTCAAACTTTACCCGTATTATTATAAGGTATACATGTATATTTAGTTTAGGTAGACTTAAATTTATATCTCGGAAACGGGAAAAATTAAGCTACAATTTCTTTTTAGTTTCAAATTGTGAAGCAAGCAAGCAATTAGGCAAATCACGAATTAGCACGTAAATACCACATCGTAACTTACCTTAAAATTAGGCACCTAGACATTCATTCAAAGAACCTAATTAGTTATGAAAAAGCTGCTTGTTTTCGGAAACGTTTTCACGTAGTTAAACACGATGGCCGTCATGCGATATGACTATTAGCGACCACCAGTCCGGCGTGGCGATAGAAATTAACTCCACTCACGAAAATTTAATTGTCCACTCAGATGGTGATTGTGTTCACTTTTTTACTGTTTATTTACAATGGTTTTTTATTGCTTAGTGACCACTTTGACTGTTCTTAATTAATAAGTCTTTTTATAGTACCGACTATCACGGGGCAATGTCCATCACGAAACGCGAGACCATAGTAAATTATTTCAATTAAAATGGAAGTAAATTAATTGGCTGCTCTCAGAACCTAGTGAAGATTAAATCGTGCAAAATACGCTTGTATTTAATAAGCGCTCGTAGAGGCGAAACACTTGTCGAGTATATTTTTGGTAATGGTGTTTGTGACTGTAGATGCACTTGGGTGGGAAAATTAACTGCATGAAAAAAAATTCAACTCAAGCGCAACTATTTTGCACGATTTAACAAACACTGGGTTCGCGGAGTAGCAAATTAATTTACTTTCATTTTTATTAATATGGATTTTGGCAAAGTAACACCTTAATTTATGAAATCATTTCAAACATAATCATCATCGTCGACTCATTTATACGTCCCATTGCTGGACAAGGGTCTCCTCTCAGGCGAAGGTTTAGGCCATAGTCCGCGACGCTTGCCCTATGCGGATTGGTGACTTCATACATTTTCCGAGAGGTGTGGGACGTGTAGGTTTCATCACGGAGTTTTCCTTTACCGAAAAGCTCATGGTAAATTTCAAATTTACATAAATTCGGAGGAACTCAAGAGGTACAAGCCCGGATTCGAACCCGCGGCCTCTGCTTGAGAGGCAGTAGATCAAATCATTATACTACCAGGGCTTTTTCAAACAAAGACCAATTTATTCTTCATATGATGTAGCATAGGTTCCCAAGCTTTTTGGCTCACCGCCCACTTAGGCAAGATAAAAAAATTTCTACGCCCAACACCACAAAAATAATTGAAAACACGTATTTTTTTATATTAACACAAAAAAATCACATAAAAAAATGTATGTAGTGTAGTGTATATAGATAATTCACTTTTTTTTTCAAATACTTGTATCAACCCTTGGACAGTATCAACGCCCTCAATTGCTTCCGAGGGCCCCTACCAAACGGCGGTAGGGAACCACTTTGGGAAACTATTTGTTATGGTATAATTATTCTGCATCCGCATAATATATAAGTATTTAAATTGTGTGTGTAGTTATGCTGAGAGAGTATTTTAGAATAATTACTTCTATTTCATAACATTGAATCATACATTAGATCATAATTCTACATCTCCCTCCTTTATCTTGTTTCGTAAAGGGCACTTTAGATATAAAAGCAGTAATTTATTTACTTGCTAAAGTCGCGTAAGTACTGTAGAGATGAGTTTTATTACTAAACTTACGCCATTTACTACTATTAACAACCCTTTCACGTAGTTACTCATAGTAATAATGTTCATAAAATTTTTGCCGGTACGACAAAATTTATTTATTGCGTAAATGGAGTAGGTAAAGCGAAACACAAATATTATATATATACACATTTATTACAATTGCATACAACAATACGCAAAGTATAAACAGGTCCATATTACATGGTTTTTACATCTATATACACATAATTTCTGACGTGCGAACAAGATAGGCAAAGGGAATGTATGATAAGTCAGAATAAATAATTGTTCACTAATTTTCCGAAAAAGAAAATTTAAAAATTCATTGAATAAAAGTCTATTTAATAAAATTATCATAAGTACTTGATACATAAATGTAAAGCCAGTGAATAGTAATTAAGAATATTTGATAAGAACAAACTGATCATATAAATATAACACTTATTTGTATATTGGCAGTAACCCCTGTACTCATAAACTAAACACATTTGTGAATAACTAATTCTAGTCGATGTATTCAAAGTACATTCTAAATTAACACCTATAATCTCGTTGCAATCAGTTGTTCGCTCCTTGTTCGGACGCCAGACAATAATACTAAATGCCACAGTAACACAATGGATCATTTAGAATCTTTTATCTGAAAAAGACTCTTTCTGAATCAGTCTATCCCAAACACACCATTCCAACAAACTATTAATGTACCAGTCGAAAATGACTAACTCATTCAAAAATTGCTACTCCTAATACCGTACTTCGTAAATATTCACTGAAGTACATATTAAACATTGCTAGACATCGAAATAGTGACACCATCTGGACCTACATTTTTATATTTTTTTATCCATTAAATAACAGATACAACAAATTAATTTCATCAGATATTGTCATAAGAATTAGTAACATTGTCGTTTCACAACATACTTTTATTAAACGTCTACATAAATCGCAGCGTGGGAATGCAAAATTATAAGATAGCAGCTTTACAAGGTTTTTAAACACATTACATCATTTGTATATTGATATATACGTACCTTACAATTTTAACATTGTAATTTTATTAAGTTAAAAAAATATCAACAATTTATTTATATTGTTTTCGTAAACATTATCCATTCTACCTACATCACATTCATGGCATGTCACTGAAAAATTACGAACCATAAATATACCCTAATTTAAAATTTTGATCAAGAATAATTATTTATATAGGACCAAACGCATATGCGGCGAAAATAAGCTAGTTAGGTACAGATAAACGAAAATATTTACAGTGCAGTTTATCACAAAATGGCGGCGAAGAGGCGTTCAAAATGGCCGTCCGTTCTGTGGTCGCTCGGGTAACTTCGGAGGGACGTTGGAGGGTCGGCTGGACAGACAAAGATCACTGTTAGATTCTTAACTTAAGCAATAATAACGCCGCTATTTACAGTGAACGCAAACATGTAGTGAATTATTTACAAAATATTGACAACTTAACAGAAAAGTCAATCACGACTGTTAAGTGGACAAGTAGAATAGTAGACAGAGAGTGGAGAAAGAGTAACTTAACATGACAAAGCTAAAGCTAGTGAGTATAGAATACAATTATTATACTACCAATTACTATACGTCACTACAGCCCCTCTGAAGATCTAAATACGTATCGCCTACCTTAAAATTACATATAAAGGGTAAAGAAGAATACTCTGTTAGGTAACAATGATTTTTAAATATTATATATTTTTGTACTTTAAAACATTGTAAAAGAAATAGTATTTTTACAAATTTATATGAGACTTAACAGACTTTCTCCTGGACCCCTTCATTTGCATGTTTATCAGAAATACAACAATTGATTGTACACTCTTCGTTAAGAGTTCGCAAGCTAAAATAAGGCATGCTGCTGGCTACTTAAAATTCTAACTAGAAATATAACTTCTGCGTTTCTCAGTCCACAAATTTATTCAGCTATATTTTGCTATGTTCATGCAGCAACCAATACGATCCAACCCGTCTTGTACGCAGGCACTGACCATTATTTCAATAAGAACTGTTAATTCCAAGGTTACATAAAATAATATACTATATAATAATATACAAGGTTACATGTTAAGTAAAACAAGATAAAAAAGGCTACGTTTCTTATTGAAATATATTTTCTACTATAATTTAAATTCAGCTTACCTAAAACTCCTGTAGTATATGTATATCCAAACAGTTAGTAGGATACAAAGCCAATGGTTTATTCGCAAATTCTACTGGAATAAATTAAACGTCCTCAATACACATATAGCATTTAATTACTCTATTTATACAGCATAAGATTAACAATATTCATAAACTATATCAAATCCAACAACCACTGTCTATACCTTTTTTTTTTTCGATGGTACTAACGCTATTAACAAGAGAAGAGAGAGAAAAACGTTAGATGAATATTTGATTACGTCCGTTTTATACTCCGCTAATATGGATAGAGTAATGAGACAGCTACTGCGTTACAATTGTTGTAGGAACTCGGTTCACTGATGCTTGGCTGTCAGTTTCACGCCACACGCATATAGATCGTTTGGGCATCAGTATGAAACCTCACTTCTTAAAAAATACTAAATAATTCATTAATATCGAACAAAAACTGTTCTAAGTCACACATCTGTCAGCACATAATGAATGAATGTATGTACGGCGATCATGCCACTACATAATTATGATTCCAAAGATGCAAATGTTCATAAATTTCAAATTTTTAATAACGAATCCATTATGTATCACCGTCTATGAAACGATCGATCTAATAATTGACCAAAGGTATTGCTAACAGCAACAATATAAGAGACAACTGCTTTGGTCTTAGCCATTATTAATATAAGTACAATAATATTTTACATACAACTTTTATTTCCTACCATGTTAAATATTTAATCGTCTGTCACATGATTATTCGGCTAAAACAGATTACACTGGATTATTTGTAAATATACAATACCAAGTAAGCTGGGGTACATTAAGGTATGTGTGAGTAAATGCATTAACATTAAGATCCGCTGCGTCCTACAGAGATGAATGTGGGCCAAGCCCGAGCGCTTTCCAGTTTCTAAGCTACGGAACACCTAGACACTGACGTGAAAACATGTTGCAAACACTGCTGGCTACGCATCTAGGTCTACGCGACATAGTGTCCAAGTGCAGAAACATCAACAGAACAACTTTATCGCTTTACAATTACGTGTACGTATAACTAGCATTAAAACAACGTGATATGCTTGTTTGGTCTCCGCCGCTACGGCCCGGAGCCTGGTGTGCCAACCGCCGAAACAGAACTACATAATTCAATGTACACCTATCTTAAGCCACTCAATTCAACATTTACATAACATAACCGTAATTTTACATATTCCCATAGTAGTTACAGTAATAAATACATAACCCATACAGTTGGGTTAATATTTCATTATAATTAAAGCACTCTGAACTATAATTTTAGTTGAAATTTAATACTGAATTCCATACGAAATATTTCATTTTCTAACAAATACCAAAAATAACTTTACCTCCTTTATAGCTTTAAATAGAATAGAGAAATATTTGACCATAGTCGCACCTGCTTTATATGACATGTGTGTGTGTGATCTTCAAACCATTGGCTCCTGTATTTTATTCGCTTTTTGAGCGAGCCGCCTATTGCTGAAATATAACGGCTTTAAGCAACAATCAAAAACAATTAAACGTTGACAATTGATATATTACACTACGGTAACATTGATTATCACAAGCTGTGCTCCAACAAATCACTAAGTACGTATTTTTATTAGGCACACTCACACTATAGATTACTCAACGGACAAATCCAATAAGTCAAGATATTGCGATATGTCCGGTCGTATAAAGGTAATCACCGTCATTCGATCAACTGTTTAAAAAGAACCGACTTTAAATTTATACTGCCTAAAGCTTCAAATCGAATGACAGCAAAACAATGTTAGCCTAGGTACACCAAGATACACAGTCCGAGTATTGCTTTTGTGTTACAAAGCTTGCAAACACGAAACTGTTAGTTTCACACCTACATTTCGACACAGTAACAAAGATAAACTAGCATCTATATTTTTGAGATTCAAATATATCTTTAACATTATTATATTCAGGTATAGAACTAGTTCCATTGAAACAGCATATCCGAAAAACAACGCAAAAGATCAAAGAAGGAATGATGTATAATAATATCAAATATTTTAGAGAATCCCAAATGACCAACATTTAAAAAATGTATAACTGGCCAATACACAACTGTCATCAACTACAGGATTTAAAAATAGGTACCGAACTTTATAAACCCTCATAAAAAAAGCGTAACGAATACGCTAGAGACATCCCGTTTAGAAATATCATATTAAAATAGGCGTGTAGGGATGGTTCAATTGCTTTCTGATCCTATGATATTCTCTGGATATTTTTAAGATGGGACATACATTTATTAATGTACTCGTTACGTTAGTGGAATGTATAAAAAGTTATTGACCTTTATCGTCGAATAGTATAAAACCATCCATACACTTAAGCACAAAATCGCCGTAAGTAGTGTTAACAAATATCGCGTGAGTCGACAAATAGTATGTTTACTTGAATCTGGCGAATGCAGAGCTGAGCTCGTTGATGGCGGCGTTGGTGACGGCCTGGCCGACAGCCTGGTTGATCTGCTGCCGCATGTGTGGTGGCAGCTGGTTCACGGCACCCACTGCCGCGCCCGCCGCGCTTCCGCCGCCAGGACGCCTAATATTTTTGTTTACAAATTACGTTACAAACGAGACATAGGTAAAAACCTATGTGAGGAAAAATTTCGTAATTTTGTGAGAATTCATCCAGAATACATTTTTTTGTAATAGCAAGTACTATTTAACATAATAATCATTCCAGTTTTATCTAGCACAAGGGAATGCCAGTAAAACTATTTAAAAAATGAAACAACTCCAAAAGCTCTCACAGTTTCTCTGTAAGACATTGTAGAGCAATGTAACTGCCATAATTTATAATTAACAACAACGAAGAAATCACGACTATATTCTTACAGTGGAACTGTGAATACAATATTATATGCCACTAAAATAAAGAACTTAACACAACAATATTGTGAAATATCTATTATCTGTGCAGCCCTAAATATTCAATGAGAAAAGAAGAGTGATATAATCAATGTCGTAGATAAGGCTATGGCAGGGTCAACCAGTTCAAGGCGCAAAGATAGAAGAAATTTGAAACGCTTATTGTAACTATCAAACAATATTTCTTTTATTCGTCTTTATTAATTATGAGAGCGCTAAATCGAATTACACTCTGTTCGTGACCTTAGCTACGACATATTATATATTGCCTACAACAAACACGTTGTAAACAGTTGAAGACCACACACAAATTAGTGTAAACTAAACATGCAGTGCTCTCCTGTAACTATGATCGATTATTTTTGATCCCTTTGTTAAAACACAACGTCACAAAATATAGCTGTTATGTTAAAAAAATAAAGAGCTCATCGCCTTCATACTGCTGGCTACTTCGCACCGATAAGATAGAAATGTATAACTAGAATTTGCATAGACACCTATCTGGATTATTTATTGTTTTATATAAACGTCACTTCTCACTGCAGGCAACTGTAAAGTGGAGCATAAGAATTCGACGAGTCCACAACCTTCTATAGGTATACGTTTTTACAAAAGTACGTCATCTAAATCAAGTGTAAAGATTTGAAATGTAATTAAAACTTAATGATAATATAGCCTACGTATTAGCTATAACATTTCGTACAAAGAAAGCTACCCGCAGGAGAATATTTAAGCAAAATATTTGTTTTGTATTCTACGAGTACATAATAAATTTTACTATTAAATTTAATTTTTGGAAGCAACAATTTTTTTTTAAGACGTATCATAAGTATTGATAATTTACATAACTAATAATATTGTATATAACATATGTATAATTATTTATAAACTTGTCTACTTTTGTTAACTTACTACAATCGAGATTCGCCCTCCATCATTTGTTACGTTAAACAGGCCAAATAATTTAGTGAAAAACTTGAACAGAGTTTAAAGTTAAATTCTACCGTTACACCTAAGCGTCTTAAGGATTCGCCTGGTCAATAAAAACTACTGCCTACACATCTACAAAATTCTAATTATTAGTTCGCTATGAACAAGTTATAAAGTGATGAACATTTTATTCACTACGAAATGATAGGACGGTTAGGAGGCAAGGACCCACGGTGAAATACTGAGTGTTAAATAGCAATTGTGGAGGTCAACTGTACTAAGTTAACAGGTCGTTAGTACCTTAGTTCGTACGTAACTTAGGTTAGTTAGTTAGCGCGCCGAGCCGCACGCTTAGCGCCGCCTGCGAAAATAACCACACACTCAGCTATCAGCCCTGCTTGTGCCAATTTCATAATACATTATTTTTGTAAGTGGAAGTTATAAAGCATTCCTACTAATAAAGTAGTAAATAGTTTGAAATTACAAATAAAAAAATTATGCATTTGATTTTTTTACATTTCATAAATTGTTATCCTTTTGCTTGTGACAATGTGAAGCAGATTAAAATATCACGTTTTTTGTCATTTTTTATGCCAGATCTTTTCTCTGTAGAACGCAGTCTACATAAACCATCCAAATAATCTTGCTTCAACAAGTATAAGATAAAAGGACGTTACACATTCTACAGGCTGTTCTGTTTTCATTTCACCTAATTTCGGCTGGGTTAAAATATGCATGATGATAGTATTGACCTTCAACAAAAAAAAATTTATATTCAGGGAAAACTTGGAAAAAAAACTATGAAATTCTAAAAATTATTTTTGTGAATTTAATAACAGATTGCAACAGGAGCGTAAAACGAACCACATAACACTTAATAGTAATTAGCGCCGCTTATTTAACCCCACGAGCACCGCGAAGGCAGTTATAGTTCGAGTGATAAATGCATTTTACAATACAGTATAACACTGCTTTTCATTTCTACTGAGAAGTGAAATAATAATGGATATTAAATAAAAATTTACTAAGGAATACTTTAGCGTTATTGTAATATTGTTTATCGTCACTGTATAAAGAACATAAAGACAAACGATTTAAGGTATTTTTTAATTGTCTTATTGCTTACAATTTTTCAGAATTATAAACAATAAATGATTATCACTAGTATCGGGTTTCTTACCACGGTATGACTTCTTTTTATTTTCCCGATATTTCGGAACGGTTGCACGCTCCATGGTCACGGGTTGACTGGACGGCGGCAGATGACAGCTTTATGAGCAGACATATCTGTCTACCCTCTTGCGCTGTCGACGACTACCTTCATCGCGATTTGTTGTGGCGTTACCATTGTCACTCACTTTTTTCACACAAACCACACTCACTGTATCCACACGCGAAACTGAACTCGAGGTGTTTTTGTTTTTATTACTGCACGCACTAAGGACCGGATTCCATGCACTGGACAGTTTAAAACCATCATCACGGTTAAATGTTTTGTACTTCGTGATCTCGATGGCTTCTCGTACCAACCGTGGTATGTAGTGACGTTCTGTCGAGAGTACCTGGGGGCTATGCAACTCGATCCAGTGGTTAGTGTCAGTCTGTGTGAGATGTTGTGCTATAGCCGACTTCTGTGCATCATTGTTTTTTACTGCTCGGATGTGTTCCTTCATACGATCGACAATTGTTCGTTTAGTCTGACCGATATACGAGCTCCCACAACTGCAGTTCACTTTATAGACACCCGGTGTTTGTAAAGGAAGGTGGTCTTTTGGTGAACGTAACATTTTTCCCATTTTGGTTAAGGGGGTGAAAATAGTTTTTATGGAAAACTTCCTTAGCGACCTGGCTATTTTATCTGTCACCCCTTGTACATAGGGCAGAAAAACTGGTAGTCTCTGTACGTCAAAAAAAAGTCATACCGTGGTAAGAAACCCGATACTAGTGATAATCATTTAGTGAATAATCACGAAAGTCTTAAAATCTATATATTATAAACAATGTCTCACGTCAGTGGTAGTTTCTAAATATTTTTCTAGTCATGAGAAGGAAAAATGCTTTCGCTCTTGGAGCACACAAATATCTTTTAGCCTACTTTCACAAAGTTAGAACTACCTTACGAGCATGATAATGATAATTTATAACGAAAATAGATAATGCACTTAGTAACGTAGGTTGCAGTGCCCTTACGGAGCTTATATAGGATAATGTAAAGTTATTACATAACGCAATAAATGATAGAACTATTATAACAAAAAAAATTTTTTTTTTGCCATTGTTGTTCATTACTAGGACCACAAGCCAAAATTAAGTAAAACCAAAACGAACACTCTACATATACAAACCGAAAAGTCCTCTTGTATATGGTATTTGGATATATTAGTACTAAAGAACTCACATATCATCGGTGTTTTGTAGAAAGGACGAAAGCGTCATTTCGATAAGTTTTTAGGGAAGCATGTTTTAGGTTTTAACGACTGTTTTAAAATATTTACGTCCTGTTTTAAAATTTAGTTTTGGTTTTAATTTAAGTTTGTAATTTTATAAATTGAAGTTCAAACAGAACGTAAATATTTTTTAATAGCCGTGAAAAACTAAAACAAACTCCCCTGAATTAAAAAAAAATGCCACTTTCGCCCTTTCTACAAAACACAGACGATATCTGCACGTCTATACCATTGAACTATTGGATTACAATACAAAATGAACAGTAATAGAAAAAAGTAGACTTCAACAAATCCCCAGTAACATTTATCAGCACAAGCAGGTACAGGAGTATTATGCCAAAACCTTTATACAAATATTGTTAACCTGTAAATGAATAGTAGCAAATACTCTATACATATATATATATTAAATATATAAGAGGCATATGTAATAAATAGTTAATTCGATATCGTATGCAAATTATGGCTGTTACATCACCCACACAAATGCTTAACTGTCAAGCGAAGCTTTAGCACAACGGAGTTAAGTCGCAAGTTCGGCCATCTTGGACACACACATAAAACCAACTCGACTTCTCTGATAGCACTTTGAAATATTTATTCAAAGTACTCAGATCCGTGTATAAACAAAACTGTTTCCGAGGCATTGAACTTCAGTTTTTTAACCTTGAGAAATTTAACAGAATGTTCTTTTTGCTAGTGACTACAAATGTACAGCGTATCATAGTCATTTTGATACAGATCTGGATCACATAAGAATTCAGCTTCAGTCAACTAGTTTTACCTTTCAAAGTAAAAGTGTTTTGCCTATTATAGCTAAATGGTACTTACGTGGGTATGAGCGGCGCAGGGAGTCCTCCGCCAGGGGTAGGACGGCCCGCGGGTGGGGGTGGCGCAGCGCCACCAGGTCGTGACGGCAGCGGCGGTGCCGGCCGGCCAGTTCCAGCAGGCGGCGGCGGAGCGCCTCTTTGGCCCATAGAGCCTGTAATAATATATGTGCCAGGCTACCACACCGTTTCCTGGACTCAAACTAGATAATTCTGTACCAGAGCAACGGAATTCGCTCTGGAGCACTTCCCAGGACACCCAGATCAGAAACAATTTAGAAAGTTCATTTCCGAAATTAGTCCCACCGGGACTTCCATCCCGGTAGGACTAATTTCTAAGCAGAAATCCGCATTCTGCGCCCACAATGTAAATCGTTAGACTACCAATGTCGTCACAATCATGATTGTTTTGTAAGTTCGTCACCATCATCAGCGTGTAGATGTCTACTAAATAAAAAAATGCTTTCTAAATGACAACGAAGCCACGAGCTTAAAATGGAACTGGGCTGGACACGTCTGCCGCATGTCAAACGAGCTGTGGGCAAAGACCACTACGGAGTGGATCCCACCAAACGCAAGACGAAGCCGTGATAGAACCCAGAACGAGATGGCGTGATGAATTGGACGCGTATGAGGTCTTGGCCTGTAGCGGCGTTAAATCGCGAAAAGTGGAAAAAGGGCGGGGAGGCCTTTGCCCTGCAGTGGGGCAGTAATGGCTAAAAATTAAAAATTAAATGACAACGAAGTTTAGTTCTTGAAAAATACAGATTGTTGATTTAAAAGTAAAGTTCGTTCGGATGTGTTGACTACTTAGTGGAGATAATTGAGTTGAGTCGATGTGATCACCTACCTTGCTGCGCAGGCACAGCGCGGCGCGGGCCCCCGGGTGAGGGCGGGCTGAGGCGCGGGTTGGAATCGAGGCGGCTCTCCAGCCAGTCGTTCTTGACGGGCGGCGGCACCGGCGTGCTCACGGTCGCCATCGACACGTCGCCGATTATATGCAGCGCCTCTTTGCACGCGTGGTACATACGCAACATCTCCTCACGCTTCTGCGCTTCCTCGGGGGATTCCTCCATCATTTGAGACTGTAATTGAATGAACGTTATGTAGCAACCGGTCAGTGATTTATTGCACAATTACAAAAAAAAACTTAACATACAAGAATCTTGACAACTGAGGCGCAACGTTCACCATTTCACACTACAAAGAATTTTTTTCTATAATCGCTAACTATTCAGACTTTACTTAAGACTTCTCTCAAAGGGAGAGGGCCTGGTGAGCTGTAATATACGTTTAATTGCCTAGTATGGTCTTCAGTCTCTCACAAGGGATACAACATTTGAAATTGTTAGTCTATTATAGAATAAGTGTATATTTCTTTGTATTGAGAAAATATCTTTCTTTTTATATTTTTTTTACATTTTTTTTTTATATTTCTTCTTTACTACTGACTTTTAATAACTATTATTATTAGAAGTCAGTAGTAAAGAAGAAATATAAAAAAAATCTTTCATGTTATTAATTTGGTACGTGAAGACCGTCGCGTCGCGCTGTAATCAAATATCATTTGAATTTTACAAATTAACCTAGATATTTACACAGGAAGCGTACCTGATCACCAGAAGCATAGAGATGTGCAAGGAGTTCCCCGTTAATGAAATCTTTGGCGTTGTTGATGATCAGCATCATAATAGTCTTAGGTACCAAATCCCGTGTCGTCTTGGTCACGATGCGCATGTATGAATCGACAAGGTTGCGGATGGTTTCCACCTGCCTTTCCAGCTGAGGATCCATGCTGCTTGTGCCGGCACTTTCGGAGTTCTGTAAAAAAAAACAACTTTTTAATTAAAATAAAAATTAAAGGCATCTAAAGTTTGGTGTCATCTAAAGTATTGTTCGTTTGTCTTGCGATGTTGATAAAACAAGCAGTTTATGTTCATGTCGCTTTTTGTACAGGATTGCAAGTTGCGCCCTACATTATTCACAGGGTTCAATGAAGCATGCTCTACATTAGCATAAAAGACTCCTTGCTGAAAGAACTCATGCCTTCGTCTAATTGCAAGCTAATCTGGAGCGTAAATGAGTGGATAAGTTAAATGCAGTTAAATTATTAGAGAAAATATTAGTATGAACGTTATTAGATAAGGAATTCATAAAAGTCTATTGATAAAAAGATGTGTTGCACTGTTAAAAACTATGATACTCACCAAAAGTAGACACCAACAACTTCAACAACATACAGAATCGTGCTATTAATGGAAAATCGAGTGATACAACCAAAACCAAATGTATCGGGCCCTAAGCTGAAAACTCCTTTGTACACCAATGCTCACAATGAATTCGTAGCTCGTGAAAACAATGACATGCAACTAAAAATCAATGACGGACGAACACTAAAAATGCCGCAGTTCACCTCTGTACTAAAATCCAAAATCTTTCAAACAAAGCTATGAAGATATAATCTACTTACTTTCTTCTGACCCAAGCCTGGGGTAGGCGGAAATAACTAAAAAATAAAAACATAAACATGCTAAAACAAACTAGATTAGGAATATAGAAAAATAAATGGTACCTTGCTTGCATGGCAGACCTAAACATTTCATTTCATATCTACGAATCTGACGATCATAAACCTCTTTAGCAAAGTATAGCTTATCAATAAATGATAGTTATATCATATCGTGAATGTGAAATGTTTACAAATGAGAACAAAATTCATAATAATGAATTACATAGTGAAACTAACATAATTGTGTCGAAGAACCTTTTCCACCATACAGAAGAAATAACAATCAAAATTTAATCTTCTACACACACTTCACTATTACATATTAGCTCTACATGCCTCATGCTAAAATATAAATTTAGATAATATTGTGTAAATATACTTTCCAATTATATTTTTTGTTTAATAAAAAAGATATTTAACACAAAACAATTACACAAAAATAAAAACGGGTAAAAACCAGGTCATTCATTCTTGAAACACTCTTGGTTTAAATCAACATTACACAAATGAATACTACATGTTGTAAATGATTCGTAAAGCCGTAGGACAAACCTCAGATCCTTCACTCTGTATCGCATAACAAATAACATGTTATATAAAATAAAACTGATATAGTACATGACTATATTACTTAAATGCAGATACGCATGTTCATAAACGCAATTACATATTTTAGTAAAGCCATGGACCGCTTGTAAGCCGGTAAAGATACATGTAGAAAGAAATATATAGAATTAAAAAGGGGGTATAAGAATTAGGAAGTAAGAGCAAGCAGAGTGCGATTTGTGTACTGTTCGTATGACGTACCTCATCTCCGTTGGCTGCCTCAGAAGTCTTTTCAGGGTAGACTCCGGCGCGAAGGAACGACGCCTTCCACGAGTCCACGTCGTCTTGTGTCTCACACGATAACTCTAGCTGTTTGTAGTCCTATAAACAGAAAGATTATTTTGTTTTAGATATGTAAAATTCACGTATGTTTAATAATAATAACCATTTATTTAAAAAAATTATCATTCATAACATTTGTTAGTAAAAAATACAGGATTCGAAGTGATCATTATTGCTATAATTATGTTGATAAATATTCCTTGATCATCTTGATACTCATAAAATTAATTGGATAAACAAAATGCTACCGCTAGCACTGTCGTGTCAAGTGTTTGCATCTGAGATATATCCAAATCCAAACGTGACAAACAATCGCAAACCAAATAGTTTTCCTAAAGATTTTTCTTCGTGTTTATTTAATTTTCTAATTGTTTGTCATTTAAAGAGACAAAAGTGTGACTCAACATTGATAATTATTGGAAATACATGGGATATTTATCAGACAATCATAAAACAAAATAAATATCTTGATAATTTTGAACCTTCAACAAATAATTACGTTTAGTAGGACGTGTGGAAGGACAACTTACGGAGTTCTACAGTGTTCAAACGTATCCATCATCCCAGCATTTGATGTAAAGTAAAACCACAGCTCCGACATTTTTTAAATGTAAAAAAGTGATGTAATTCAGATCTTCCTCTATTCGGCACATCGTCGCGAGTTGATTATAGTGAGGGACAGACAACAGACGGTCTCTATATGGCAAATTTTCAATGATTCTATGGTACACTCCTGTATCTAGAGTTGAACGAACCTTGTAAACATTCCTGCCATCAGGGTTAAAGAGAGCGAACATGTGGCGGCGCGACATGAAGCCTTGCTCAAGATCCCGCAGCTTGAGCCCATCCAGCGGCAGCATGTACTTCTTTTCACGTTCTTCCTCGTCCTTGTACCACGAGATGCTTTCAGAGGTTAGCACAAACCAGTAGTCACGAGAACCACCTACAAATAAAATCAACCTTTTAAGAATGAAATCAATAAAAGAAAGAATTCTTTGAGAATGCAGTAAGATATACAAACTGACCATATAATTTTATATAATTTGAAATGTAGCACTAAATTCACAATAAACAATCCCATTGGTTTAATCATATTGATACATCCCAAAGAACTATCAACTGAATTTTCTTTACTAATTAAAAATGAACGTGTATATATTACCTTTCATAATGCCCAAATTGTGTATGCACATGTATCCTTTCCTGATGACCTGGTTTCCAAGCCCGGCTCGATGCCCTGATTTCACTGCGTTTTCCGACTGGTTCTGAGCACTGAAATATAAAAAGAATGATAAATAACATCAAAAATGTTACTTAAAAATACTCGAAAACGAAAACTTCTTTGTTTTATTGATTGCTTGGAAAGATGATATCTCCGAAGAATCTCTTCGTCAGTATTGACGTTGAAGGTGCTTTTTGTTTCTTTATAACTCTGGACGTTTTAACAGCATCCCCATCAGCATCCATATCCTTTTTTTTTTTTAACATTTGTACATGGCAATTTTCCACCACATTTTATGCATATTGATTTGTGCGAGTCGTCGTTGCGTGATTTTCAATAAAATATAATTTTCAAGAGGCGCCGCCTGATGAGCAGAAAGCTTAACACGGTAGTATTGCCAAGTATCTTACTTGGCAAATCCAATGAAATCCTCGTGGTTGGTATTCATGTAGGCGAGCTCACAGTCGATAAGCAGAACGAGCTGTTCCTTGCATTGCTGTTCACGCGAGCGTACGTGTGACATGATGATGCGCTCCGTCTCCTCACGCAGGCGCGGGTAGCGCGACATCTAGTGGTACATTACAACAAATTAGTAATTGTATGTATGCGTGTATTATGCACATGGTAGCAAATACATTTTATATTTTTTACAATTTTACTTGTTTTTGTACACTTAAAATATGAATTTGCTATTCTACGACTAGAAGCACTGTGACCACGTAATATATTTAAAAAAATGGTTGTGTACATGAGGTTTCTTTTGTTTGCATACAAACGTACGGTTTTTGCACCGGCTAGCATTTTTGTTAATTTAGCACCCTACCTATTGTACGCGTAAATGGCCATAATTGCAGTTGACAACTCGCTGCACAAGGGATCGGCCACAAATAAGCATTCAAGTCTATATCGTACACTTTTTATTTATTTACTTGTGACGGGACTTGTCGTTTACGTCAACTTACTTCAACCTGAGGTGTTCAGAGATCAAAACACATAATTTTCTTGGAAGACATCCATGTCCACCAGAACAACAGGGCTGATACAGTAACCGTAAAGTACTATTTTTCAATTGTTGGTTACCTATCTATTGCGAAAGGCCGCCCGTTGTAATTCTTAATAATCCAAGTTTTCAATAAATAGATTTGTGCTATATCAAAGTATTGGTGGAATTACATAGCACGCTATGTAAACATTGACATAGCACGCTATTACAATGCTCTAAGGATCCTATCACACAACATTAAAGTACAGGCGAAATCCAGTTCCAGTGCCAGATCATATATGTATCTTATTGTAATTAAAACTTACTCGTTCAGTACAGAAGCGCACGACGTTGGAGAGTTCCTGAACGACGAGATCGACGCACTTGAGGCAAGGCTCCTTCAGTCGCGAGATTTGTTTCTTTACTATAGCCTCAAACGCCATGTCGGGAGTGAATAGACCCACCTATATAAGAAAAATTAGATTCAACAATCAATTTCCGACAAAAATCTACCTTTTAGACATTTAAATAATGTTTCTAAGAATCAATATATGCTTAATACTGATGTCCACTTACCCTAATACCATGGATATTCCGAATAGCAAAGGCAATCTCCCTCCGCAGCTCCTTTTCGTCGAATTCCATCTTAACAATCTCGAAGGGAAATCGCTCATGGAACAACCGATTGATCTTGGCACCTCCAGACAACTCGTTGGTGTTGATCTGTGCAGAGCCCGAGCCTTCGATTGTACGTTCGAAGTCCGTCTGAAGTTGCTGGATCATCCTACCGAGATCACAAATTGCCATAAACTAAATGAATGATGTTAGTAACAACAAAATTCCATTAGCTCTATATTCTTCTTATTCTTTACGCCTTCTGTTTTGAAATTTGGTATAAGGTCGTAATAGATGCCCGCATTTCAAATAACTTTAAATTGTACTTCCTACCGCTATTTACGTAAATAAATGTAGACACAAATACTGTACTAAATAGAAACTTGCAAATATACCCTAATTATGTCATACAAATTGTATTTCTGAAATGTTATATTTTAGTGACTTAATTTTTTTTAGGCAAACAATGTGACAACGGAAGCGATAAGGCAGACACTAAGCACGTCGTGCAAAAGTCATTCGTTTGCTTCATGTTCCAATGTCTTCTCATTCGTCGTTTTCCTGTTTACACACCAAACTTGAAAACTTGACTACTCGTGACGTACGAGTTTAATAAAAATGAAGCAAACGAGTTTCCGTCGTATCACCGCCGCGAAATCTCATAATTAAGGACCACGAATTGGTTCGAAACATGTCGAGCAACAATTCGACTTAAATATGCGAGTTGTCCGTCATTTTAGTTAATGTAAATTTCATGATGTTTTACCACGTTGATACATTTATCTAAACAGACACATAGACGAATTTCGTCGACCTGTTGACTCGACCTGTAGCTCAGTTGGCAGAGCGACGCTACGGTATAGCATGGTCACAGGTATATTTTAATTATTATAAAGAAATAAAAATTTTGTTTATTAAGGTAACAAGGACCCATTTAGTGTTAGTAACAGTTACACTTAAATACTAATGTTAGTACATGTACATACATAAAAATGACAGAGAGGACAAAAACACTACACTACTACAATTTTTTTTTACATATGTGAATCAAAGAATTCACGTACGGACAGTCGAGCTGGTTAGTTATTATATTCATATTAATAATTACAACATACATCACGTTATATTTTTCATCGTGGCCGATAGTGACATCAATACTCACTGCAACATAGCCTTGGTTTTGATGGAAGGATCGTCAGGCCTAAAGTGTTTGTACTGGTCGACATCCTTCTCCAGGGTAAGCAGTTGCTTCTGCAGCTTGTCGCGCAGGCCTGGCAACGTATCGCGAATGTGATTGGTCAGTTGTTGGTTGAGCACACGCTGGAGATATGGTGTGCCCAGCCGGTCAGCGATGTGTCTGTACGATGGGTGACTGTGGGAAAAACCAAACAATATCAATAGAAGTAGCTAACACTTTTGACTAATCGATTTAGAGAGAATCTTGGCCCCCAATTTTTTCTTTTTTTTTTGTTCCAAGTTACCGGACGAATAAACACCACGCCTGTCCATAACAATCGCAGTGCCACTCAGAGCTTTACATCATAAAGAGGGGCGCTACTCCTTCCCTGTAATTCTAGCAGCTCCCTTGCCCTTCAAGTCAGGAAAGTAGTAATGCTCACATTATTGCTTGTCAGCAGAAATAGGTAAGGTGGCTGGCTATACTTCCCTGGAAGAACTCTTTTAGAAGGAGTTCTACTACTTCTAAAGAACGCTGCCATTTTTATTTTTGCTTCGATCCATTAGAAGGCGCGCAGCTAACAAATGCCAAACTTACAATATCTTATTCAAAACAAAACATGCAACGACTGTTTAATGGAACATTTTAAACAATCCCTAACAACTGCCACTTCGGGAAAGAAAATTAAGAGTAGTCGATTAGCCCGGTGAATCGCAGACTGCACGAATCACCGGTAACGAATGGAGAATATAGGTTTAACGGCCACAATCGGAAGATAGTACAATAGTTGTTGTTACAGTACCTTAGAAAGAATTTCCTTTCAGCAGCGAGCGCAGCGGCGATGTCCTTGCGACCGTCGATATCCTTCTGCGAGCGGTTAACAACGCCGATGTACCCTCGTCGCAACGGCAGCAGCTTGTTCTCCAGCACATCGCGGGCGTCAGTACCCTCGTCCATCAAGTCGAGCTTCGTTATCACGCCGATTGTGCGTAGACCTGGAGGTAGGATACTGGTCTTAATTTTTATCCAATTCAAATAGATGTTTATTATTGATTACAATTTGATTATTGTTATTACAGAATTATGCCCTCCTAATTGGAGTGACATTCTTTTGTATGCGTGGAGATTCCTCCTTTTTTGGACAGGCGCAAGTCCAGCACACTGGACTGTAATAGGCTGACGTACGTGACGATCGTGTGGCGGTATTCATTCTGAATCAAATAGAATTTAAATGTATATGAATTTCTTTGAAATTGTATGTTTTAAGTTTAAATTACATCGTTGGGTATTAGATAATTGCCTAGGTCAATTTATAACGCCCACTACTGCTCAATCGATGAACAAGGTCACAAATCGCGAATTGTATTTTATCTTCCTCGCGTGGAAGTGGCTAATTACATACATATTTTTCACATATTTTATCGATTTTCAATACCGCTAGAATAACGACATAATCATAATTTACCGAAAATAGAATGTTCAAATTACAATAATGAGCAGAAACGTGACAATATCTTATTAAAACCATTTTCTAATTCAGTTCTTAATTAAACTACGATTTAAAAAACTTATTCCTTGCTGCCAAATTCTAAGTAGTAATTTAGAAACTAAAATTGAAAAACTAAATTAGGATTGTGAGTTATTTATTTGACAACCATGAATAAATGCTCTCCAAGGACTGTGATCGATGAAGTAAGAAGTTTTTCAACGAGCACATACGCACTTACAGAAGTGTCTACAAACCAACCTTGTGGGTCAACTTCTTTGGCAAGTTTCAAGGCATCACTGTTCGCCAAGTCGGTGTTAGCGGGCGTCACAGCTAGGATGAGGCAGGACTCGCGTCGGATGAACTGGAAGATCATGGCCTTGATCTGTTGCTCGATGTCCGCTGGCTGGTCGCCAATGGGCACCTTCGTCAGGCCCGGCAAGTCGATCAAGGTTAAGTTCAACACTGAAAACGTAGGACTATCGTTAGATTTATAAACGAAAGCAAAATTGGTGTAGTTATGGAGCTTTTAATTAATGTAATAGTGGAATAGATTCAGCAGTCGAGAGAGAGAGAGAGAGAGAGAGAGAGAGAGAGAGAGAGAGAGAGAGAGAGA